CAGCGAGAGAGAGAAGAACCATTGGCTCAGTTGTGATCATGTGACGTTCGGCGTCACGTTCTACAAGACATCGCTTGTTTATCAAGTTAAAATTTATTAGAAATATTTGCTCATCTTGCGGAACACTCGCAGATCAAGTTATTCGCAATCCAAGGTTTTACTGTACGGTATTGAGTTGTAAGTGTTCTTACAAACAATGAAAAAAGCAACAAAATCTAGGATTATTCTGCATAAGATAGGCAGCCATATAAGTTTTATAAATAAACAGTGTAGGCCACAACAGATGTAATGTAAGCAATGGAACTCTGCTTGATATTTATATGGTTAATGGCTATTAAACAATAAGAATTTTTTCCCTTCCAGGTTATGGAAATTTCTGTTCAGAAGCAACAATACTATTTTTAACAAAGGAGGGACAGATTTTGTTTTGGATACTACCAAACTGTTTTGCACACTATTCTAAAGTGCAAATTTATGCAATTGAAAACCTGAAATAAATGGTTGTGTAAAGAGCTAATGAAGAACTGAACTCGAAATGAGTTCACCAACAGGATGAGAAGAATAATCTACTCAGAAACTAGAATTAAAAACAAAAACAAAAAACAAAACAAGCTAGCAGGAGCAGCAACCTGGGAGAAAAAAGGCTGGAATCATTATCTGTGTCAGGCAACTTACAAGAAGTGGTGTGGTTTAGGGATAGGTAAAGTCCTACCATAAACAACCTGGGTCAGGGTCCTGAGAAAACAGTACAGAGCATCTTCTTGCTGGGCAATCATGAATAGGAAAAACAGTCCCTATATTTCTGCATTATCATTCCAGCGAAGCAGTTACAGGTAGTCCTCGACTTACAACCACAGTAGGAACCAGAAAATTTATCATTAAGCAGTGTGGTCATTAAGCAAGGCATCACGTGACTGCACCTGATTTTACAACATTTTTTGCAGTCGTTAAGCAAATCATGAAGTTGTTAAATGAATCATGCAGTTACCCACTGATTTTGCTTGTCAGAAACTGGCTGGGAAGGTCGCAAATGGTGATCATGTGACCCCAGGATGCTGCAACCATCATAAATACATGCCAGTTGCCAAGTGCCCCAATTTTGATCATGTGACCATGGGGACACTGTGATGATCATATGTGCAAGGAACGGTGGATGGTTGTAAGTGCGAGGACCAGTCATAAGTCACTCTTTTCAGCACCATCATAACTTTGAACAGTCACTAAACAAATGATAGTAAGTCGAGGACTACCTGTAATCTATTTTGTCAGAAACCTGTATGAATTCTATCTTCATGTAGTTTGTGAGTAACTCCACAGGGAACAGAGTAAAGAATTTAGTGGAAAATTCCACAGAAAATTAAGGAGGAAAATCTGGGTTATACCCTAAGTAGGAAATGACATATTTACATTTGGATCAGCTTTTCTTTCTCAATCCTGTGTATAATTTTGTAAGAGTAACTAAGAAAGCATATAACAAAAGTAATTGGATTCTTTATCTGAGAATTACTTAATTTCTTGCAATTACAAGCAATAATATTTTATTGACTCTTTTAAATATTGTCCCAGATTGTGAAAGAATAAACTTTTGGTCCTCTTCCTGAGGGAAAAAATAGTAGCAATGAATACTGTATTAAATTGTAAAAGGTTAGGAAATTTGTTTTTGTTTTCTGCTACTAATGAGGAGTTAGTAGCTGGATTGAAGACAGATATCAGTCCAAAGTTTGCTACACAGACTGTTCCTTTAACTATGGTTAGGTTATTGTACAGGCCTCTAACTCTATATGTTCTTTCCTCTCAAATGTGAAATCTCTATAAATTATTAAATAATATATTAATATTATTGCTAAAAATTGAACAACCAAGATGAGAAATCAGCTTGGCATTTCAAAGAAATACCAGGCAAAGGAACATCAAGTCCTATAGCTTATTCTTAGTTATTTTTCTATAATTGGCAAACTCTGTATCACCCACTTTTTATGGACGTGACTTCATAATGCTTACAATTATACTTAATCAACTGGACTATGTATAGCAGTTTCTCAATTATGTTGTATACTATACAATCGACAATGAACAAATTATCTTCTACTTTTAGGATTCTTTTCTGATAATTGTAGATCCATGCTTAAAATACCAATAGAATATATACATATACACATGCCTAAAATACACACAGGGGGGATGCGATGGCGCAGAGGCTTAATGATGCTGAAAGTTGCCGGCCAGAAATGGTTGACACTTCAGTGGTTCGAGCCCAGCTCCGCACAGCAGAGTGAGCTCCTGCTTCCTCCCCAG